TAGACTTTAAAAAATTGAATGGTGGGTAGACGAAGTCCAGTATAGCCACCTAATTGAGAGCGTGGCTGTGCAGTTCAGCTCCCCATTCGTTCCTGTTGGGAACGTATGGAAAGAGCTCGGCGTTCAAAATGTTGTCAGTGAACTTCAGGTAAGGCCAGATAAACCGCCCGCTTTAAATGAGTGTCGTTTTTGTAAGTGAAGGAAGGAGATAGTACCTTGAAACAAGCGTATTAGAAATTTTGTATTGTATCTGACTCGTTTTTGCTTTATTTTCTCTATCAATCATTTTCATGCAATGTCTATGAGGACGATGACTTTTCTTGCAGGATGACTATTTGGCATTTCCATATTGGTTGAGGATACAAGTGAAGCAGAATAACAAGGTGATTTACGTTTATATTTCACATCTTATTGTATTTGTATATTACATCAGCTTGGCATTTGAAAGACCATACTCAATGTATTTGAGATGCTTACTCTGTGCATACGACAATTAGCTTTGTAATAAAGAAATTAATATAAAGACCTGCACCCTCCATCTTGACAGGTGTCTCACAGTGCAGCAAGGAATCTGGCTCTGCGTGGCATTACTCCAGTTGTAAGGTTCCTGCCCAGAACAAGCCCCAGAGTGGACAACAGTCTACCCGCAGGCAGTATGGAGCTGCATGGTGCACTCATTGATCAGACTGGTATGACAGCAGAGCAGTTTGTTACTTCTAAATACATGTATCACCACTCTCACCTGCTGTGAGACTACTGATGTCACATATAACATGGTGCACATAAAAATTAAAATCATCATGGTTTGTCCCAAATCACCCAAGACCAAATATACAGATCAGAAGCTAGAAGATTACCACCCACACTTCAGGTATTCTCACCTGTGGAAGGATCGTTGGGGGGTTGGGAGGTACTTCTAGTAATACGTGATGTGCTGTAATCAATCATCTGTTATGTACAGGCTGGACCATATTATTGTCACTATGTTATACGATAAACAAGCCAGGCCTGTCACTTATATATAGTGTCACTTATATATAGTACTCACTACAGTTTTGACTTTGCTCTACTTGAAATTGAGTCTTTTAACTTTGTCTTTGTAACAACTTTGAACATGGATATGCCCATCAGACTGGAAGGTGGGCCATGATAACAGCAGCTGCTCCCATCTCTGTGAGCCAGCCTGGCTGGTGCCCCTCCCTATGGACAACTGCACCAGCCTACCAAAGGTGGAGGTGGCAGGCAGTGGAGAGGCAGCTCTTATGGAAATATTAAGGTAGTTGCACTACAATAATTCTACATATATATATTGATCTGAAATATCTATAACTAGACATATATTCATCTAATATGTCTATAACAGCTCTGATTTACGATACATATTGTTCATGTTTAATGAAAGGCTGGACCAAGGAGAAGATTCATCAGCATTGTTGGCGGGATGTTTTTTTTTTCCTCGAAAGTTTGGCCTTTTTTTTCACTATACTTCTATTATATATGGTGCAGAAATTTTTGCTGTCCTTTTGTATAAATCCATTTTTTTTACTATTTACCCTACCTCTCCCATCATCCTTCCTGGTCCATCCTAATGAGCAGCATATTCCCTCAGTGAAGGTGTCCACATCCACCATTTCCACGCCCACCTCCTGGAGTTCCCAGATGCCCTAGGAAACAAATCTCATCTGAGTGTCAGTGACCTTGCGACCTGGGACCCCTACCAGTCTGTACACATCACACGGCTGTCACCATCTATAGTGATAACAGGGTTCGGCAATTCAACCCTGAGTGTCTTCACTTCAGACCAATTTGAAACACACGATGTCATCCAGGTAATGGTAATATAATCTTTGTTGACCTTTTTATTGTTGCTTTCCTTTGCAAAGATTCACAGATGCTGATATATTTGAGTCATTTTGACAACTTACACACATACATTGTACTGTCATTCTGACTTGAGTATTTGTTGATAATCAACAACTTATCTACAAAATGGACCACTTCTATCTGGTATCTGACACACAATTTATTATCCAGTTTAGGATCCCAAGCAGACAAGAGACAAGCCTGTGTCTAGGCTGGAATTCTACACCCCCAACCATCTTCAGTAACCTGATGTTTCCAGGCAGTCTCCTTCTGGCTACCTCAGCTGGAGTCTTACAGTATCCTCTGGGAGAATATGCTGACACCACAAAGTGTGTTTGGAAGCTGATTGGCCCCAGTGATCTTCTGTCTGGAAGGTTCCAAGTGCTTGGCATTGGAGCTGAACCTAATGAAGGAGATGTTTTGGTGGCTGACATGACTGATTCCAAGCATCAAACAGTACCGTTACACTTTGTGGATTTGATTGACCATAGGAACTTATCATACTGTGCTGTGTTAAACAGCACTGGTGACTATTCAGCATGTACTTTAGTTGATGCTGCCATCAGTCCAGTGACCAACCAAACATTCCTTTTCTTGGTTCTAACAAATGACATGAATGCAGAGAAACATTACCACTTGATGCAGTTCATGGGTGAGCCAGGTCAGGGCACATGGGAGGAACTGTCAGTTATATCAACTAAGCTGCCACCTGCATCACAATTTGACCATTTCACATGGTTAACAAGTGATGTTCAGGACCAAGGACAGGACCAACTTTCACTGACAGGCATGTCCTTCTTGGGGATGGTGTCGCAGAGCCTGTACCTGTGGGGCAGTGCTGTTTTGTACAGGTATTGGAAATGCTCAGATTGTTTCAATGTACATAGTCAGCTGACATAGTGCACAATTGGTGCCTCAAGTCACAGTGACACTCACAATAACATTATCACATTGGCATGTGAAATGATGTTCTTGTTTTTTCCATCCCAGTGAGGATGCAGGGAGGAGCCTGTGGTGGCTTCACACCTTCATGTCAAACTCCACTGTCACCCAGTTTGTACCCTCTGGAGATGGGGCTTTTGCCTTCCTCACTGACTCACAGGAGGTTAGAGGTTTTATTCCAACTCTATCCATACAAGGCTACATTTTAATCAGGTGTCAATGTTGCATTATGCACTCTATTTAGGCAATATCAATGTTGAGATGTTGAACTCACCATTGAGCATTACTAAGCTTGTGTCAAAGACTCAAATAATATGCACTGTAGAGCTAATGTCTATGTCCAAATGTTAAAAGGAAAGTACTATAGTATATATGTAAATTTTCTTGCTCATAAAATGGAGGCTTGTTGTTGAATGTTTACATGTTGCAACAGTTGACAGAAACACCTATTTCTGTGCTGGAAGAAAAGACTTGAGCTAAGCCCTGTTTTCCTGATGTCGGTAACCTGTGTTGCAGTTATGGTACGGCTGTCTGGCACCACCAGGCTTGTACAGTTAAGACCCAGTGAGAGGTGGTCTCTGGCAGAGAGTTTTGGTGAGCTGCAGATCCACAGTGAGAACACCACCACCCTTGCCATATTCATGGATATTAATAGTGAACTCATGGAGGTCTGTACTGCTGTCTTATACAAAATATATATTGATTCATGAATAGGTAGAGATATAGAGGTATATCATTCAGTCTGTACAAGCAGGAAAGCTGTCCAGTTTGAAGTCGTCCAACTTACAAGGTCACTGGTCAGCACTAGTTTTTTTTTTTTTTTTCCAGTGAGTTACCATTACGTTTGCCATTAACCTTCCTTGAAAGGTTAGGAGGGCCTATGTACAAATTTTCACCTTTTTCACACAATTGTTGTGGGTTTCACAATAGCCATGTAAGACCAAAACAATCATAGAGAAGAATGTTCTATGGAGCTTTCTCTAACTTATTGTCTAAGGTTAGATGTACGGTATGTTAACATCATGTATCTCTGCAGGTCCTGGCCATAGTTACCAATGATAGTGTTCAGATATCCAGTCAGACCGTCCCAGTGGTAAACATTTTGCAGCATCAGGCTTACTTAACTGGAATTCAGAAAATGCAGACAGCTTTAGCAGGGTATGGATTAGAGCAGAATGTCAAGCCATGTCAAGCAGAGTTTATTTTTTGTGTCATTAGGAACAACATGTTGAGTTATGTTTTAGTTCTTGTTTCCTTGGTGTTCCTCTTTGGATCCAAGAATGTCATGTTTGTTTATTAGAATAAAAAATCAGATAACTGAAATTCTAGTGTTTCTGCTCAAGATGGTTTCACCAAAGTAGCCACTACAAAGCATGAAGTAACAACTGACAACTAAATGTTATGCTCTTACTACATAATACTTAAATTTCCATTGTTGACTCTCTGTTTTAACTATGTCATTTCTCTTTTGTGTTGGAACAAAGTTTTACCTTTAAACATGTAACTTTCATGATAGTATGTCATAAAGCAAAGCAAGATACTGTGGCAGCTTTTGAATCTTAATGTTGGATGTCAGTAGTAACTATTTCATATGTTAATATTTGGAAATCCTTGGCAACATACTTTGCAGCACAACAGATGTGGACAACTTTCCCATCACCATCCCTCGGCACTGCCCCTACTCCTCCCTGCAGTTTGAAATACCAGACAGCCAACACAAAAGTGACGTGAAAATGTTCTACACCCGACCAGCACGTATAACTTACCCGCAACAGGTTCATCAGTCTGACTCCCTGGCCGTGTACTCTGGGATGGTGCATTACCTGACTCAGTACAAACCACCTCAAGAATGGGTTAGTATGGAGGGATTGGAACAGGCTGGAATCAATGATATGGGATCAGTATAGCATGATATAATATGTCATGAACTAGCAGAATTGACTTCCAGTGTCAAAATTTTATATTGCATTCTTTTTTTCAACAGTACCCAAATAGATGCCCTATATCATTTTCTATCTGGTACAAACTGCAGCCAACTGTAACTCTTCCTCTGCATCACTCCTACAGGCATACAGTCTAGCAGCTATTAATAACTTCCAGAACCTGCTGGCCGCTCATGAGACTGTACAGGTACAAGTGCTTTCTGTTGTTCTGTTGTCATGTCTACAGCTCTACAAGTGCTTATACTATAATCCAGACAACTTAGATTTGAAGGACTTATCTCACATGTATGGGTAACCTCAGCTCTAATCAAATTATCCTGTCAGAAGGATTGTAGTTATCTATGTGGTTGGTGTCAGTTTCCAATAATAAAGAAATTATAAACACAAGCTTAAAAGATGTTAACGCAGGTCTGTCAGAAAACCACCAAGTACTAGTACTATTAGCTTTTCAATTCCCATTTATAGAATTGTTGTTGCCACTTGTTTCCCATTAAACTGTAGGGAATGCATAGTCATACCCCTATTTTCATTTTACATCATATTCCTTTCTGCAGGATTATTATATGTACATGTACTCAACACAGAACATGAAAGATGTGTTTCTCAGTCTGGAGGATTACCAGGAAGTAAGTCTTTGTTTCTTACTCTTGTCTTAAGTCTTGTGGTTGCCTATGTTCAAAACAATGTTCTTTGAAAGTTTGAATGCTTACTACAAGAATCTTTTTAACCCTACAGCCATACAACAATGCCAGTGCCACACACCTTCCACAGCATATCTTCCTGGACACAGAAGCCTCCTTCATAGTCTATGTCAGAATGAGGCTGCACCCTGTTCACCCAAAAGGTTAGAGTGTGTATTTTTAATGTAACAATTATTATGTTTAACTTCACTTAAACTGGATCCAGTGGTATTAGTCTTTGATACATTTCCCTCCTTGTTACAGACACTGAGACGTACGGGCATACACCCTTGGATCATCTCCAACTGTCAGTCTGGGTATCTGAGCCCACTCTCCTGGATGTCACCTCCAACAAGACAATTTTCCACCATAACTCTTCCGTGCTTTATCAGGTGAGAAGGGATTTAAAAACACTGTTTGTCAAACCAATACACAATATACACCAATACACAATGCCATGCAATATCCTGGCACATGATGGTAGAGAACTTTTGCTACAGTCTATAACAAAAGTTGCTCAGTTGAGGGCCCTGACTTCCTTAGTGAATCTCTGTGGTGTAGGTCCAAGATGCTGTAGGTCCATGGTTACTTACAATTTACGTACTAGATTTGGTTATCACATTAAGCAATGTTGGACACTGTCTTCATGTTTTAGTAACTTGAACTGGTTTGTCCTTCAGATTACTGTAGCAGACAGAGGTGTGTACAAACAGCAGCATCCTCCCGGAGAGAAGTTACAGGCTGTGTCTCTCCAAATGCAGGTTTGTTCAATTAAAGATACTCCGTACTATAATACTAACTGTAGTAGTTTGGGTTATTTGATGATATGTCCATTGGAGGAAGGTATTTTTTGTTTTAACTTTGCAAATTCACTTTTGCATTATTGTTTACCATAGCTTGTCAAGTGTTGGTTCTTACACTGACTTCCTAAAGTATTCATACAAGTGGTACCTCTGTTTACAGCCCTGGAATGCACCTCTGAACTGTTTTTACCAGGAGAAGGCACAGGTAATGTACTGGAGAGGCAACATTATTTCAACAGAGTTAGCAATAAACTGTTCAAAATGTATTTTAAGTGTTACACATAATCTGTATCAGTTGAATTATATGGATGTCAGTCAACTTCATAATGTTATACATTGTACACGATGTATTTTGTATTAATTTTGTATGGAGAGCGTAACTTGGTTGATGTCTTTGTTGTTTAGGGAGTGTTTTCCACCAGGGTGATGCTAGGATGTCCCCTGTCTGTGAAGGTCCTGTTTGACTTAACCACTTCCCTCCCATACTCCATCACCAAGTACAGCTGTCGACAGGCCAATCCTGACATTCCCTGCTTCCACTTAAGCAAAGGTGCTTAGTTGATATCCACGTTTTCTGAACATCTCACTGCTAATTGTACCCTGTCCCTAGTTGATTGGCCTGATAATGCCACAGATTACTAGTATATGTATAATATTTAGTAGTAACCATAAATGTGTAGGTCATGAGCTGCACACGCTGGTTTGATATCACCTGTTACATTCTACAGACTACAATGTGTTGTACGAAACCACTTCTTAGTAATGATTTATAGACCATATCATGAGCATACACATGTCCGAGGGTAACAAAGAAGATAGAGTAGAAATCTTAATGTTTTTTTTCCAGCCTTCAGACCATTCTTTAAGGTGCATGACCTTGTTACCAGCACGTCTGTTGAGTACAAGGGAAACTACACCCTACTGCTTGTTGGTGGAGGATGGAATTCTCTCAGTAATGTTGAGATGTGGAGTCAGGACCAGATCGAACTGTACAACCCTCATTTCAGGTAAATCTTGTGCCGTTAGGTAATCTGCTATGTAGCAACAGACATGAGGACAGATTGATTTTTTGGTCCTTTGTCATATCTAGAAAGTCAACGTTGTTTAGAGCACTTTGTTACTGTGTTGACAGGGATGATGCTCCAGCCATGTGGTGGCCAGGGTCCAGTGTGCTGGCAACTGACAGGGTTTTTAGCCAGAATCAAAATGTGATCAGGTCAGTGTTTTTTCTTAGAAAACTATGGCATTAGACTATGCTATACAGAGGAAAATCAAATCAATATATTTTTTCAGCATTGGTTTGTGTGTAATTTCCTGTAACAAATGCTCATAGAGCTCCCCATGGTGCTGAAAACCTGTTGTGATTGGATTCATTGGAAGCCCAAATGTCAGGGATCAAACCACTACCATTTGAAAATATGTGACTTGTGAATGATGTGTCCATTTCTTGGCAAACTGTTGTGATGTCATATCTTTGATTACACCATATTTGTCATTCTTGTTTGGCAGCTGGATCTGGCCCCTGAACTCTCCCTGGTGCCAGCTGGTCCCAAACCTGGGAGCTGTACCTGAATACTACCTGCTCTTTCGTTTTACAAACAAGTATGCAGTTTTTCACTGTCACAGTTTGATGCATATTCCACATTCCTCATCTATAGGAACTTGGATCTTTACAGTAGAATTCTAGTTTAGTTATACTTAAATTTCACAGTCATAACAATGTATTCATAGTTTAATGATGCACCAAAATTATGGTGGTATGAGTAGAACCTCTACTAGAGGCTAATTCTAACCTTTACATTACAACACAAGAGAGCATCTAGTTCAATAGAGAGCACGTACCTCAACAGACTACATGTAAATCATTTGACCAATAGGTTGTAAACTGATGGTGATTGTGTGCAGTGTTGATTTGTGTATCTCTTGATTATATTTACAGGGGAGTTGATGACTCCACTAACTGTGAACACACCCTGCAGTTTTATATCCGTGTGTATGGGGATCCTGTCCACTACAGCTTCAAGATAGCTCTACTTTTTGTAGGGTCATTTTTTTCTCTACCTGTCCCCTACTTCTGACATTGTTTGGACAATTTATCTTTATAATGCAAAGATTTTAAAAAAAAATGACCCGTGTAGGATGTTCTAGAGGTAGACAGTACATCTTTGCAATTTTGTTCTTCTAGGTTCTGTTGACAGATTTCCGTTTCGTATATGGATAGATTGCCTGCGGCCCCTGCACCTCAATAGTTAGCTCTGTCCTTGTTTCATACAGTGTACATTTGTGTTTGGACTGCTGGCTGCAATTATGTACTACATCTGCCACCGCAACGATGCCAAAGTCTGGAATAAGGTGGTACGACCAATGACCATCAAGATGGATAATGCAAAGACATACATGAAGAGAAGATTAAGCATAGGTAAGAAGTGAACATTTTCTAATTGGTTTTAGACAGTAAATGTCCAAAAACTCACTGGAGCAAGTCTTGAAACTTTTGTTTACTGTCTATAGTTTGTTTCATGGAGTAATGTACCTCTACAATGGAAAGTCGTTTTACACTCCATATTCTGCAGTACTTGCACCACCAACATTCAAGGGGGACACAGCAGAGGTTGAGGAAAAAGAGAGTAGTGTTTCATTGGAGAGCTGATGAAGGCCTGGATGCAAAAAGTGAAGCTGATAAAGGTACAACTTGCAAAGTGTCCCTCTTACTCTCTACATTGCATACTGTTCATACTAATGCCATGGAGTTAACCTGTATTTAACCTCCTTGCTAATGCCAATGCCATCAGGATTAAAAGTCTTGTACATAAGATTTAAACCATGAAAAGGATTTTGTCAGATTTCATTGAAAGAGATGTTACACAATGCTAATTTTCTCTCACCCTCCAGAGTCTTTTGCTACCCAAGTGATTCCCATGCCTAACATCATAATCCAGCCTGGCAGTACGATGGACATGGAGCTGAGCCGTCGCCACAGGTTGGAACCATTGAACATCAGTCATCAGCACAAAATCTGAGACAACATTGTCTCCCCCATGTGTGACTAACTCCTACTGAACTGCCTTGCTGGTTAAGTTGTACATATAGCTGTAGTTGTGCATAGCTGTACATATACTTAGTAGCCAAGAGCTTGTCATTATTTCTATGGCATGAGACGGAGACTTGAACAAGACTTAAAGCAAGTCTTTAATGAATGACAGTCATCATTTAGGGCTGTTTAGAATCGCTCAATATCAATGGCCACAGTATGTCTTCAACTTCATGTCAGAAGATGTGTGTTCCAATATCCGTAGTGTGTAGCAGTTCTTACATGTCCTCCTCAACCTGCAATCAAACAAACTCAGGATATAGTAATATGTACAATATGTAGAAAGTTAAGGTAGAGTTTGTTATCTATATCAAGAACCTTGCTACCAGCCAGTTAATTAGGCTTCTCATGTAATTGACCAAGTAAAAGTGTTGTAGTTTTATACTTCATAACTTTCGGGCATAGGCTATGCCATGTATATACATTATGCATTCCAATTGACTAATATTCCCACAGATGTTCTAAGTGTCAGAAGTTGAATTGAAATGCAGTAAAGCATGAGTCCTATACAAGTCTACAAGTTTTCACTTCTTTTCCCAGGCATGTATAGAGACGGTTGACTTACCACAAGATCAATAAAGTTGTCCACAGTGGTCATTTGGTTCTGCAGAATGTGGTTATTGTACTCCAAAGAGGCCAGCAGCTGGAAGGACCGAGTCATCAGTTCCTTCTCCCTGAAAGTACAAATGTATAAATAATACAACATAGGAGCTATTGCTTTTCCCAGTGAAAAACTAGCTTAAATTTAACCAACAAAACAAGGCATATACAAGAAGGAGACTCTGAGGACAGAGCAAGAGACAGCAGTAACTAACACATTGTGAAATATGTAGCCTCTGGTGTGCAAAAGGAATAAAAGAACCTTTTAGCTCAAAGACTAGTGTATCTATACCTGCTTGTATAGCCTTCAGGATAGTAGCTGTTGATTGTCTTTTTCTTGTGTAGGTGCAGCACATCTTCCTCCTCGCTCTCATCTGAATATTTGGCAAAGATCCAAAAGCATCTACTTGATTATTTCAGGACAGTACTATTGATACCAGTAAGAGGTACAATGATATTTTTCACACTACCTCCCGATTATACAACATTTCATCCATGTTATCAATTATAGACCCAATTCCCAAAAAACAGAAACTATAAGTTATCATTCATGCATGTTGTCAAATACATCTATGACGTCTATTATGCCAGAATACATCTAACGTTATGTGTTTTATTGCCTATCAGATATGTTTTGTTTATCAACTGTTCAATGAAATAATATGCAAAGTAAAAAAAAAACAATATTGCTGCATCTTACCATAACTTGATGACTCATAGTCATCATACCAGTCGTCATCAGAGTCTTCATCAGCAGCATGCTGAAAGGAAAGAGGACCAGTGAGCAGGGATAATGCATACAAGCAAACCTGTCCAGTGAAAAAATGGTCACCATTGCCAGGTGGCCAGCTTGAAAAGGTGGTCACCTTGGCAGTTTTGACTGTATAGCTGTAACAAAAGTTAGCAAATATCTAATCGGTGGGATAATCAATATAGCGATTCTTTTCTAAGGATATTTTGAACCCGTCACCTTGTGCTTCCTCTTGTGCTTCCTTGATTCTGCATGTTCCTTTAAAGTCAGCTGAAAGTTGTCCACCAGTACAGCAACAAATAAGCTGAACACACAAATTAGAAATAGCTTTACAACATATTAACCCGGACATGCGAAAGGCACTAATTGTTTAAAAGTCAGCATTGCTATTTTCGTCTTAGAAAACCCTGCTTAAACAAGTTTGATCATAAAAATAACGAATAGATTCTGGGTGTACTTGCTTGAGGAAGATGAAGTACTCCATGATGATATAGAGGAAGAGGTAGAGAAAGATGTGCCATTGACCTGCAAAATAGATGGAATGCAATATCTACATCACAAAGACGCTTCCTGCATTTTATCATCCTCACGCTATCATAAAATCATGACTTTGGCGTTCAAGCTGAACCTCGGAGTAAAAATATGTGTACATCCTTCACATTCATTAATTGAAATATTCATTGTGGCAAAATCCACTCATAATTCGTCACGATGTCACGATATATTACGGAACAAGCTGACGTCAGCTACACTATAATACCTGGGTCGTTTTTGACTGCGTCACTGTAAATGTAATACCAATCGTCCAGCGTCAGCAGCTGGAATAGCGTAAACATGGCGATTGCCAGGTTGTCGAACCGACCATTGTCAGCGTATATGCCCGAGTACAGTCCCCGCCCTATCACCGCAAACATGTCTGGTTTTCGGTCAAAGTAGTAATTCGAAGAAACATCGCTGCTATGAATACGACGCTAATCATTGTATCAATAGATAATGTTGGGGTAAACAAAAGCGTCTGTCTTTTACCATACACGACTGAACTAGGCCCTGTGCTATCAATACGGCGTTGTTAAGGATACACAAGAACAGTGACATGAGCAGGAAGATGGCACCCATGGACTGGATGGACTGCAAACAGGTTGTCATGATCACTTGCAGGTTACCCAGAAATCTAAAGACAACAGAAAAATGTCCAACATTAACGTTACTACAATTAGGCCAGTATCCAGCTACTGTAAAACGGCATTTGAACTTCCCGATAGGATCCGTCAGTTTCAAAATCAAAGTGTCTGCTGATTCTGTCGGGGTTAAAACGTACCTGATAGCTCTCAGTGCCCTGAGTGCTCGGAAGATGCGGAACAGACGGAAGATTTCAGCTGACTCTGTGCCTGACGTGGCACTGGATGGTGCACCGCCTGTATACAGGTCCATGATGACGTCAACCAGGTTGAACATCACTATGATGAAATCTGGTAAAAGAAGTTAGGAGAGAAAAGAAGAATCAGTGATATTGTGCCATAGAATTGAATCATGGGCATGTAACCTATCAACTCCTCTCAAGTAGTACTAGTAGTAAAAATGAAACAATGATAACGTATTGTATCGCCAAAAATTTATGTCACTTCACTAACCTAAGTCATTCCGCCCTTCTTTGAAGTAGGAACCACGATAGGCGTACAACTTCATGGCGCACTCCAGCATGTAGACACCACTAAACAGATTGTCCAGCACCAGGAAAAAGGACCCTGCAGGTACAGGTTGTTGCTTGATCATATACAAATATCCATGTGTATGCAGCACGCAACAGTCTATGAAGTACTTTAAATAGTGGTACAGTATAAAGCAATAGTCCTATATCACTAACCTGCGCCAACTTCTATCTCCTCAAATGTCTGCACCACAAGCATGGCGGTGTTCAGTAGGATCACTACAAGGATCATCCCGCCGAAGAAGTTAGACTCCACCATGTCGTACACAGCTCTGCGGAGAGGGCTCGCGTTCTTCAGCAGTTCCTCCTTCACCTTTATCCACCTTCTTGGCGGCACTCTTCCCGATACCGCCGTGGTCTTACTCTCCTCTTCGTGACGACCTCCAGCCGATCGGTCTGTTCTTGGGAACGCACGCCGCGTGTACGAATGCGTGTGTCCCTGACGCTACCGAGGAACAGGTTAGCAGTACCAGACCGAGAGGTTTCATCAGAGATGGCTTCCGAGCTTGGTCGTGAGTCCGAAACATGAGATGGGCATCTCGATTTGGATGGGCCCCAATTAGGATCTAATGGGGCCACAGATTGTCGTCTCTTTTTCTTCCGTTTAGGAAGGCTGGCTGATGGTTCAGACTCTTGTCCGTCCATGACGAGGGATTGTCTCCTGGTTTTACTTGCCTTGTGACAGCAAGAACTTGGAGAAACACCTGCCACCTGATCCTGGTACCGAGGACGACAGGAACGTATGTCAGAACGGAGCGGTATAGTTATGCAGTCCTGGCGAATATATATACATTCTATCCCGTAACTATGGATCGACAATGGCAATGGTGACTCACAACTACACTACGGTAAACGCCCAATGTTTTGTTCTAGAACTTGACGAACATGTCTACACCGTATCTGATTAGTATGTTTATATAATTTATATTCATAAACATACCAGATACCATTAAGTAGTGTGCTGAAGAGCATATGAAGTACGTCTACATCCTCTTTTCCATATGTTCTTTAAAACAAAGATCTACGAAGTGGATGGAGAAACTACCTGCCTACTCAATCACCACAAACGTAGCGGATGAGCTGTGACGTTAGACTAGAGGGTTACTGTAGTCTTGGCAAATGGGAATACACAATAGATAAACGCGTTCTTCGCAAACGATCTACTAGTATCTTGGGGATACTTTACAATCCATAGAAGTGATTTCCCCAAAGGCCCGAGTCTCCTTTTCATAGTTTGTCCTTGCGGATGCAGGCACCTTGGCTAGGCGTGACCCTATTGTGTTTTCAATCTCGAGCTCGACGAGTTTGAGTTTGGAGTTAGGCTTTCCTTAGTCTTTCCAAACATGGACCAACTTTACGTTTGTATAACTCTAACTTTAATTCTGGTGATATAACAATCAAGGGCCTTACTGTTAATCCCCGCTCGCATCTAGCATATAACCAACACGTTAGTGACAGCTGTTTTGTCGTCTGCTAGAAATAAATACCCCGGTGCATGCTGGTCGGGACATGACGTCATGTCCTCAGGTCAGGTGATTAGCTGAACTTTCATGGCGGACGACCTGACGTGTGCGTACTGAGAATATCACCGCAGAAATCAGGGATTTGCTATCTCCCACTCAACTTTCGATCAAATCTCACACTTCTGTACATATTGGTAAACGCTCGGGACGAATAAAATGGCAGCAAAAGAAGAAGAAGCCCAACAACTGATGATCCAAGCGGAGAAGAAAGTGAAGTCGTCCCAGGGATTTTTCGGCTCCCTGTTTGGAGGGTGAGTTGAGATCGATCCTTGCTATGGTGCATAAAGCCGAGAGGGGCGTGATCATAGTCTTCCTCTATTGTGGTGTATTTTGATTCATTCTACAGCTAGGCTTCAGAGGTTTTGATGCTGCTAATGTGCGTCCTTTATGTTTTCTAGTGGCTCAACCAAGCTGGAGGACGCGGCTGACATGTACGTGCGGGCTGCCAACATGTTCAAAGTGGCAAAGAAATGGAGCGGTGAGGACCAGCGAAGCCTTCTCCTCCAGAATTTAATATCTGCCATAAAAAATTGTGATTTACTGTATACAGAGGGGAAGGGTGGGAATCTTTCTGATTGACTTATCATGACTCATATTATCTAAGACCCTTATGCCAAGTATACTCTGTACCAGAAAAATCTGTTTTGTTTACCCTTTTGTAACTGTTAACGTTAACTGTTATAGTATATTATGTTATGTTACATTTCTGTTAAAATAGGTGATGACTAATCCATACTTACGTCTATAGTATAGAGTGTAGTCAGAGGATTTGATGGCATGTGGCAAGCATTTGTGATTGATCAGCAAAATTAATTCTTAATGCAAAAATTAACATCTAGAGTTTAGTTGCACACATGGAAATTATGGTATTTAACATATAACGTTATAGATGTATGTTGATATTAAGTTATTTATACATGTCCAGCCTTGTCCATATGCACATATACAGACAGTTCAAATATGATATTTACTTCCAAAACCAGCTGCTGGCAATGCCTTCTGTGAGGCAGCCAAACTTCAGATCCAACTGAACAGCAAGCATGAGGCAGCCACGTGTTTTGTGGATGCAGGGAACTGCTACAAGAAGACTGATCCTCAAGGTGTGTAGTATGCAAAATGTTGTATAATTTATAAGTCTAACAACACATTTCATAACAGTACTATATACCTGATAGAAAGGTTTTTATAACTTAAATCAAACTAGAGGTCGGAGATCTCATGTCTTCGTCAGAGGTACATCGTTCTAGAGAAATTAACATGCGTATTCTTCACTCTTTTTAATAATCAATTTGGTCTAAAGAACAAAAGAATCTCTGTATCATTTTTATGGTACAGAACACCCTGAAACGGTTTGCCGCAGATTATACAGATGCGTCGTCACCCGTGTTACCCCCCCCCCCTACGTTATTTGAGTTTGGACTGTTACTGGAAAAAAAAAAGTTGAAGAAATTCTTACTGTGTTGAAAGTGTCACGACAGCGCCGCAAAATATAATAAGAGAAGATGTTATAAAGGAAAGAATCAGAACAGGGTGACTACTGCTGTTTTGTTAATTTGTCTTTATGACAAATAGAAGACTTGTTTCTTGTGTTCTTTGTGTCCTAACATTTGTACTTCTACAGTTAGTATATTCCAAATCTAGGCATCTCGTTTTTCGGCCCATCGCGTTTTTATTGCGCGCTTTCCTTAAATTTAAGGTAATTAGATTTAAGGTCTCCAGTGGACGTCATCCATAGCAATTACTTGGTGTGGCCGTAGAAAATAACCTGACATATGTCCAACCTATCCTCCCCCTGCTGAAGTTATAGTACAATCCCTCAATGTAACGTCATTTGATCCCATCCCATTATGGGGTTCCCCGGCTATATCCAGCTGTCGGCTGTCTCCAAGCAGATGTAGGTGGGGATTTCTAAACACAAAAGGTCCTATTACGGGGACATAACGACCTCCACGACTCTCATCTTTGAACTCAATCTTGGAGACCACGACAGTAATATGCCTATCAAATTTCATTAACTTCCATCCACACATACAAAAGTTATCCTGCTCACAAGAAAAATTAACAAAATGCCCCCTGTAGTCACAACGAAACCCCCCACAAAGCTCAGTAACAAACTTAACCTTGGTCCCGACAATAGTAAGCACCACACCAAGAATTATAATCAACATTTTACAAATACTTGAGTTATCTTGCTAACAAGCCACAAACACAAAAGGTACACTAACGTGACGCACGGACCCCCCACGAAGCCGAAACTTGTACTTGACTTTGGCCTCAACAGCGGTAATATGCCTGCCAAAAATCATGGACGTCGAATCATGCCTTCCAGAGTTATATCGCAAAATACGCAGTTCCCCACACTCCGGCGAGACAATTTCATAGTCCTTCTGACGAAGACAACAATATCTCATCTGCCATGCTGGAGTGGGTACACCATGGCCATAGACATGTATCATAGTTTACCTCAACATCATTCCCTCCTTTTTGTACTACAGAGGCTGTCAACTGCATTTCCAGAGCTGTTGAAATATTTACTGATATGGTGAGTACATTGCTTATGTGCCATCTTCTATTCCATGGATTTGTGGACCATTTTTTTCATGGTTTGCTTTCACATGCACAATAACGTTATCTAATATTTTTATATTCTTGTGGTTGACTAACATTTACTAGAACTTTTGGGTAACTCTTATATACAGCAGCTTTAAATGACTGTTTCCATGTCCAGGGCCGATTCACCATTGCTGCCAAGAACCACATTTCCATAGCTGAGATTTATGAGACAGAGATTGTGGATATTGACAAGGTTTGTGCCATTAATTCAATTGCTAATGAACTTGGAGTAAAGGTTTTAGAATGATGAAGCATGCAGTATCCATTGATTTTTTTGTTTTATTTGTTTAGTATCCATTGTAATGTATACTTAATCATACTCTGTATCTTTTACAGACAGCAGTTCTGACAGATATGTGAAATTCTAATGACATTGGACTGGTCCCATTCTAATGTCATCAACCAGAGTTTCTCTCTTCTTTCTTCCAGGCAATCTCTAACTATGAACAGGCTGCCGACTACTACAAGGGAGAAGAATCATCAAGGTGGGCCACACATACTAGGAGTTTGACTATTGAACAATATTCTACATTTTATCATAACCCAGCTGAGGAATAAATCCCACTGAGCCTGGTTCTTTAAAATGCAAATCATAACATGGTCTCACTGGAGTGCAGATGAAAGAAATCATGCATACATGTAAGGGGACTGTTTCACATACAATGTACATTGTACATATACATGTAGGAACATAAGATTTTCTTTAAAAGAAACTTTTTTTCAAATCAGTAAATCTGTTCATTAGGCAGCATGGCATATGACTGTATAAGAGGTTAGTGTTGCAAGATTCACATCCCTCATGTATCTTTGATGATAATTAGACAGATTTAGAACCAAGGCACTACCCTACCCATGTAATACCCTAGGCTAGCACTTAATGTGACCATTGGCAGTTGCTGACAAATAGCTCTGATGCAGGTAAAAGATAATTTCGTATGTATATCCAACATTTGTCTGGATGAAATTTTGCATCACGCAAGTTGGTTTAATTTTGATTTTTGTAAAAACTTGGACCTTATTCTATCAGTACATAAATCCTGTGCATGCAAAGATGAAGCTCACAGAGAACCGATCTACCATGCAAGTTTATATTTCTGATGCAGCACAGTTGACTGCCCTTTCCTTTAGCTTTAAATTTTTTGTTGTCCCCTTTTCTGTCCTATTGCCTTTCAAGTATTTCCAGACAAGGAGATCTTGGACATTTGCATAAATTATGCATTATGTAGCAGCACCAGAGTGGTCATTAATAACTAAAAACACATCTGTTTCTGTCACTACTATTCATGCCATAACATCGCATTTCATACACACGTGTACATGGCTGTCTGTGTCACCTGTTCTTGCTACTGGTATTCTGTAGTGAGTAGAACTGTTCATTGTGTTGTTTCCTCTGCTGTTCAATGGCTTCCGAAGACGAAGGTAATGAAAATGTTTTCGTCAGCAACCCTTCCATTTCTCCTCCACCATTCATATTTAACCTGTAAAGAAGGCTGTATCTGTCAAACCACTAAAGTTGCTGGTGTTGTCATACCAGAAATATGTTATTCATGAGCGCTCAGTGAACAGATGCCATAGAGTCACCAGTCCTAGGTTGGAGACAGATTTCATACCATATTATTATGGGTTCACCACACCACGAAGTGGTGTGGTGAAACCATATTGCTTTTTCTGATGTTTCTTCTCCTTCTCCTCCTCCTCCTGCCATATCTTTAAATGGATTCAGCTTCTTCATTTTAGGGCCTAAGGTCCTGAAATTTGGTATGGAGGTACAGTGGGCAAATACCCCTAGGCGTTTTTTAAATTATTGTGATGCAGGCTTTTAGAATGGTTTTATTTGAGTTTTTTGGCTGTGTTATAGCAAATGTATTACTGTGTTAGTCTGCCTTGTTTACCACGTTTGGGCATGAGTCATCACAATGGAATGCAGGGCATCAACCAATAGGCATGCAGCTTTCCTCTATACTTCTTGCTGATTGGCTGTTGGGATTTAACTTGATTAACACCTGCACAGAGCATTTCCTCTGCACAGTTTCCATACTGACAGTATGTCTGTATTCAAGTGTTTTGGTAGGTATTTCAAGCTTTCCTGCTCCAGCATTGGAATGCCGGGCATGGACGTTTTTTTTTTATTTTGAAAATCAACAGTTTGCATTATGCAATTAAAAATCCTAACCAATAAAGTAGGGAATAGCTATCCAACTGTTGTTTTAGTTGTATTTTACTTCATATTATAGTTATATCAATGTAAATCATTGTTTTCCCTTGTGTTTCCCATTCTTTCCCTGCCATGTCGTAAAATGTGGTGAACCCATCGCTGTATTTGCTCCAAAGCAAATATTGGCCTTTCTAGTTCTATTAGATTTTTCATGGTTATAACTGTCACATGATGAACTACACTTTAGTAGATAGCTAATATATGAAGGTGTCAAATGGAAATGCCACTTCATGACTTTGACTTCATGGCAGTCTTTATATGCGGACAAGTTATAAGAAAGTAAGAATATATCACACCGTAACTACATATAGCCCCTCCACCAAATGACTCCATTACTTGCAGTCATGAAGGACATTGTCTTTGCAGTCGTAAACCCCAGGGTTTTTTCATGTTTAACGATATAAATTTTAGCTTGATTCGTGCATGGTGCTATTTCAACTCACTGTCACTAATCACCAGTATTGATAAAGTACTGTTGTTAGGTACATGTACATGTATACATGTATGCGTATAAGTCTGGAGTGTAGAAATTTTATTCTGCCCTGGTTTAGATATCAGTAGTGAATCATGACCTACACAAAGTATGGTAATGTAGTTGTTTGGAGAAGGATGTACATGAGATAACCCCATTTGTCTATTTAATGTTGTGTTGCATTAGGCCAATGCATGGTTATTATAGGACAAATATGGCATTATTGTTAGAAAAAGGAAGGTTGAAAATGACAATCCTATGAACATGTTTTGTCTTTCAGCTCTGCAAACAAGTGTTTGTTGAAGGTGGCCCAGTATGCAGCCCAGCTTGAGCAATATCCTAAAGCCATAGAGATCTATGAACAGGTATGTTATGCAGTGAGCTTTGTTAAGAGTGATGTCTGATGTGTTACCATTGGTGTACTAAAGACTATGTCAAACTTTTTTTTTCATTGTGAATATTTGTTTGCCTTTATGTCAGTATGCAAATGTTGGGCATGTTTATCTCTCAGTTTAACTGTGCCTGAAGATGTGGGAAACCTTGAAAGATTACAAAAAGCATGATGTGAGCAAACACATTTTGAACCATGAAAATGCTTGTATGATTATGGCACTCATGTTTCACACACTGCTCATAAAAAGTTTCACAAAATCTTTCTGCAAAAAGGTTGCTGTTACAGCCATGGACAACAGCCTTCTAAAATACAGTGCTAAGGAGTACTTCTTCAAGGCAGCTCTATGTCACCTGTGTGTGGACCTGCTTAATGCTCAGGTATGGACTCTGGATACTTCTAGAATATCTAGATCTCTGAACTGCCTTGAATTTCTGAAAATAATGTATGAATGGAAGAAAGAAATTCCCATGCATAGTTCTTTCCAGATTGCCACTCTGAAGGAGCATGTTTATGTTGTTTCTTTCAGCAAGCTGTGCAGAAGTATGAAGAGATGTTTGCAGCTTTCTCAGATACTCGGGAATGTAAACTTCTCAAGGTAAGACATTCATCATGTTGTCTAAATGATGTGTATTTCATTGCATATGGTGTCAACATCATTTATGAACATGTGAACATTGTGAGAATGAAAAGTTAGCCATTAAGTTTTTATTTCAGCTGTTAAGTTTTGATTTAACACTCTGCTTTCTTTTCATCTTGTAGACTTTGATGACAGCTCTGGAGGAGCAGAATGCAGACATGTACACAGATGCTGTGAGTACAGCTTGTATCTTGTCAATCATTACGTAGACTCATTTGTTTTCCACAAAGGAAATGAAAACATGTTGGCAACACAAGATCTGAATTGCATAGCTTTTACATCATGTGATTATAAATGGCCGCTTTGTCACTTATAAGGTATTGAATTTTGGCAGGTATCTCGATGACTTGAATACATTTATAAGGCTACAAATGTTTAAGTTGTATGACATGTAACGTACAGGTACATGTATTTATTAAGCACTTGGAAGAGAAGAAAAGAGCATCCTGACTTTTGCTCCTCTTGCAGGTCAAGGACTATGACTCCATTACTCGGCTTGACCAATGGCTGACAACAATGCTACTGAGGATCAAGAGAACTATCTCAGGGGAGATGGAGGATCTACGATAAACACTCCCTCATAACAGATGTCACACTGCCCATAGAGGCATGTGCTAGCAATATATGTTCCAGTATGATATACCATAAGTCTTGTGTTTTCTAATATCACATGTACACATCACATGTACTTTTTTGTCCTGCAGATTGATAATTTTTCTCTATTCAAATACATGTACCTTTGTTAGAAACTTTGTAGCTGACCTTTCTTCTGTAGCCAAACAAGGGATTATTACTTGCTGGCATTGGGATGGCAGGTTACTAGTAGATTCTGACAATTAGATATGAAATGTACAAAAGTGAATCTAAGGCCAGTACAATCTAAGGCCTTCCTAATTTGTGATTGTTTTAATCAGTTAAAGATACTTTTGTATCTCAGAACTCCTTATTTATATGGCCATCTGTCTTGCTTATTGATAAGTGCACAACATTTCATGTTCATTTCAGTTCATGTGATGAAAGTTGGTCACCATTATTTTTTAAGCTTCAGTAAGTACAGTATAGCATCAGTAATTCTACAGCCTTAAAGCATACATGTAACTGTACTGCATTTTGATTTAATTTGTTGATTTCAAATTGAGTTTTTTTTTTACGTACATGTCATTTTATGCACAGGTTCTATTTTTTTTTGTTCAGGCTTATCTGAAAGTTCCAATGCAACGTCAGAGCTTGATGCTACCATCCAAATGGTAAATAATTAGAATGCAGAATTCCAGTGTAGTAATTGAAATTGAAATACTAACAGTAGATGCAAAGCCTAGAGAATGAGAAAGCTGGCTATAGAATAAATGCTTCTCCAGTAAGGCAATCTCATAAAGTAAGGCACAGTGACTTGCTGTTACTAGTGTTAGCTGTAGTGTTTCCAAATGAAACAGATGGACTGAATTAATGAGTAATAGTTAGACACATTGATCTTTTTATGCTACATCTTACAGAAAATTGTATTGTTGTTGTGTCTGTGCTGTAATGTTGTCTACTGTATTCCATATCCTGTATTCTACAAACCATGACTGTTGGTATGATTGAGAACTATCTCATTATTCCAGAGAACTAAAGTGTAGACAAGTAGATAACTCCAAATGGTCTGAACTTTGTGTATAAACTATAATAGATGTAACCTAAGATACATGTATATTGTAAAGGCATTGTACAGAAAAAGAATCTGTCATGACACAGGATTATTGATGTTGAGTTACAAATGAAGAACATTGTGCTTGAATTGTGGTCTCTATGTACACACTAATAGATATAAATGTGCCCTGTTGTCCTGTCATTTTGCTTATTTAATGACTTCTTGAATCTGCTTCCAAAATTTTCTGACGATATTATTGCTCGCATAAAGATAGCATTGGTAAGTCCAACGTTTATTCATTTTTTACTTGGAATCATGTCGCATTAGATGTTGGAGTTTGTTGGACATAGCGCAAGTTGTTTTTATTTGCCAATATTTATTGGTATTCCTTCATTTACTTTGATTTGGTATGTCTCAGGGCTTGCAGCAAAAAAACTGCCAATTCCTGATTACGTTTGTTTTTGTACCTATTGCTAACAGTGGCCAATTAAGTGCTAGAACTTTGCAAGTTTCCAGACCTGAAATTCTTTGAAACATACGTTTTGTTTAGAAGTTACAGAAGCTTTAATTCAAAAGATTGAAAATTTCAAATTTCATTTTATTCCCATTCCATTGACATTCTTTCCACATCAGAATTTCTCTTTTCTTGTGCAAACAACTTAAGTAAGACATTTAAGGCACTGGATTTTCCAAAATTGTTAACATCGAAATATACTGTTGCTGTGTCATACTTTGATGATCTAATTTTGATATTCATTATTCCCTAATATGCCAATTTTTTGTTTCTCAAGACGACAGAATAAACAGTCTCACCTATACTCCAGCATTACAATCAGGTAAAATAAATCTGCATATTTATTAAGTTAAGCAGGAGAAAGAATACTGGGGGAACCAATCTTAGGTCAGGTGGAACAGGAACCCTTCCAGCAAAACATCCTGATTTCCAAGTACACAAAACTCTGAAACAGAATGTCCATTGATAATGCATGATTATAAAATGTTCTCTACATTCTTTGACAGAAACACTTTATTTCAAGATTTCAACATACATGTAAATGATGATAGCAAAGCAGCATAACTAGTAACCTCTTGCACAGAAGTAAATTTGTACATGTATTACATATCAGGATACATATTACTAGTATCAATTTGGAATACTGGAACTATGTACCTCACGAGAGTAATGCGTAAATATATGACAGTGTTGCTATATGACTTGCTTTTTCTATGGAAAGAATTATACCTAAAGACTGATCACCCATTTAGATTAACTTCCAGGTATTTACATGCAGTATGGACTATAATATTATAATACATGTATATACATGTACAATTTACATGTTACAGTCCAAGAATATTTTTCAAGCCCTACTAGCTTTATTAACATGACATAGCACATACTCCATACACTTTCTTGATCATACACCATTTGATAAGGCCACCAACAAATACATCAGCTAAAAGAATGAGCCATTAGCATGTGAGATCAACAATTTGATGATATATTGGGTTGAATGTCACGGAATTCAAATAAAAGACCTCAGTAGTGTTCAGAAAATCATTATCATAATGGTTCAATGGGAATGAGTAATACAGTTCAACTGTTGTATGAACATGAACAACAGAGTTAAGCTAAGTACATACCATGTACCAGTAGCAACAATTATCTACAAAGGAAACAGTAATGACTGCACATAATATGGGTGATACATGTGCTATACATCTGGATGTATTTGTCACCTGTGGCTAACCTTATACCACCAAGCACTTTTTACATCACCCTATGACATGAGAGGACCAACTTGCTCATTTTCTGTTATACTTTGCTTGCTACTTCAGTCTCCGGCATGGGCCCAAAGCTGAAGGAAAACCCTGGATACCTTTAACATCAATACACATTATTTGGATGTACAGTTGTTGCTTTAGAATTGCTGTGTTTCCAAGTTTGTCTTAAGTTACTATGGGCCCATACTGTGTCCATAACTACTGTCATTTGTACCAGTGCTTTTATATGAAGTCCAGCTTGTTGTAGATATGTGATACAGGGTAGCAGACTGGTGTTTTTACGGCTGGTCAGGGTGAGGCTGCTTCAAGTCTGGGTGGAACTGGTCGCCTGTGTGGATCTCAGGTGTGTAGGTCAGCAGCACAATCATCACCCACAGGTGCAGCAACACCTGGGAAAGGGTAACAGGTTGTTACCTGATAAAAGGTTACTTTTGAGTTCAAGCATTGAATTGAAATATCTGACACAATGTTTATTATAAGGGAGAAAGCAAAGACTAACCATGTACAAGATGACAAAGAGCCTTGCTGTTGGATATCTTCTCAGGAAGACTCCTAGACGAATACTGTAGAGAAAGCCACATGGTTATATCGACATTCATTATGGATGTCATTTTGTTATTTTGGGTACTAGAATGTATGCTTGCTGCTGTGCTTACATGTTGTCCAAATAAACTTTTCAAAAGATAATCTTTCTTTTGAGCGATGAAACTCACGTAAGCCCATGCCAACCGAAACAAACTGATCTCATGTAAGCCCTCACCTGAATTTGTCTATGCTGTTGGCAGCTCGCTTGACTCTGTTGATGGGACTTGTGCCTGATGGGTCCACTTGTAAGAACGGGGCAGAGCGGACTCTGGCACCTGCAAGAGGAACAGAAGCTACAACACAGAGTTTGAGTTACATGTATTTGCCCTAACTTTGGGCAAAATGAAACAAACTTGAAAAGGCACATCAACATACAAAACAAACTGAAACATACACTGTTTAACATTCAGTGATATCTAATAGTAAAGCTATTGATTTGTTGAGTTACATGTAACTGCACACAGTGTATGTATTCATGAATGAATCAGATTATTTGTTACTCTTTATCTTTCATCATTTGGATATGATGTAACAGCCAAGAAATACTGATGCAAGCTCCCTTTGTCTTTTAGATTTGCTGTTTTCTTTTTAAAGATTCAATATGGCAAAGAAAGTAGAATGCTTCTCACCATCCTCCTCCTCCATCCCACCTACTACAGTGTGACCAGGATGTTTGCCAGCTAGAGGCTGGGCTGCTCTGTACTGTTGCTGCAGGGAAAATGGTTGGCATATGATGAGCATACTTGTAAGCTGTCTCACTTAGCAGTGTGACTCAGTGATGTGTGCTACCCTTAGAAGAAGTATGTTATCCATTGTGTCAACACCTGTGTTCTTGACACCCTGCATGTGTTTGACTTGTACAAAATGTAAATGTAAAGCTGTAACAACTGACCTCTAGCCTCTCTAGCTGTAGCACCAGGGAGTTCTTCTCTGTGCTGAGGGCTTCCAGCATAGTCTGTTTCTGAATGAGGCTCTCAGTCAGGGAGTGCAGCCGCCCCTCCAGCTCACTCTGGGTGGTCGTGCTCATTGCCTTGGTTGTCATTTGGTTCCTCAGCTTCTGAATCTCTTCTTCTCGGTCCTAAGTTGCACATTTGAAAAAAAATCAAATGGAATAGTCGTTGATTGAAGGCATGTATTGTGAAATGAAACTAAAGGAGTCCCTACCATAGGGATAGTTTGATACCTTCAGTCTGGTTTGGAAGGTTGTCTTTTGCTTCACCATTTCTTCTTGGATGTAACGCATTTCCTGTGTGAGACAGCAGAGAAGAATGATCAACAGCTGCAATAGTGTCAAACACTGCAGCTTTAGAAAAAATTGCATTAAAAAGACTAATCCATGCTAAATCTACCTCTTCATTGGCAAATACTCCTTGATAATAGCCTCATGTATATGTGATAGAAACTCAAATATAGGATGCGACTGAAAGATGCAAGAGCAGCAGAATCCTCACACCTGCTTCAGGCTGGCAAGTTCTGTCTCAGCATCTTCTCTCAGCTGTTTCTCCTGTGACAGGTGGTCCTCCAGTTCTCTGATCTGGTCACGTGACATGTCAATCTCTGACTGCAGCTGGGACTCTTGTTCCTGGATGGTAAAAAATTCTTTTGTAGTCAGTTACATGCACGTGTTACAGGCAAACATGAAATATGTCTTTTACATGAATGATATTCACTATGTTCTGCTACTTTCTCACTGCTTCTCACAGCCAGACAAAATCACTCCCAGCAGAAGTTTGTACACTATCTGACCTGTAGCTCCAGCCTGGCCTGGTCCAGCTGCATGCTGAGGTGTTGAATATCTTCTCTTTGCAAATCCCTCTCATGTCTGAGTTCCTCCAACTCCAGCCCCACACTTGCCCCTGCTCCTGCAGCCCCAGAGTCCCCTTCACTACTGCCTTGACGTAGACTGTTGATCAGCTTCTCCTTTGACTGGGGGCAGGACCAAGGTTTCAATTTGTTAAGTGTCATTACCCAATCTCTAATGAGCACAACATTTGTCCAAAAGCTTCAGTCAATGAATTGTGTGCACATGCGCAATTACATGAACATTATTTCTGATTTCTTTTTGTACCTGTTGTAAATCTTGATGTAACTGTTGATTTTTCACTTATTTCAATGCTTTCTGAAGAAATGAACAGCGTACAGCATGGACAACTCTAACCTGTAAAATCCGTGTTGCCTTCTGCTTGTAATCTGACAGCTCCTGTCTGGCTGATTCTGCTGTTGCCTTAGCCTTCTCCACATGTGCAGTCAGGTCTGTTATTCTCTCTGCAAGATAGTAAGCTCAGGAAAACTCTGAGACAATATCTTTTTAAACACTACATACTTAATATATTGAGATGGCTGCAACATTATTCCAAGGAGGTTTAAAAAGAAAACGTCCTTCATTATTCTAATCACATCCCTACATATGTACATGTACATTGCAGGTATTACTGCAAAAGTTACAAAGTGAACTCAGGTGGGTTGCTTTACTGAGTTTCTGCTTAAACATTATAATTGTCTTATCATCTCAAATACAGAAATGCAATAGTAAGAAGGATACTCTTGTCATCCTGGACCTGCTTTTGTGCAGATGTTAGAGACTCAGCCATACTGTGTCTGTCTGCCTCCAGCTTGTGTTGTCTTTCCATGGCCTCGTTCTATACAAGAAAGATATAGCTACTACATAAAAATTGTCATACCTTAAAGTAGCCTCATATATAGACATGTTAAAAATATATTCATCCTTCAGATTATACAGCAAGCTACCATATGACTGTAATAAAGTACATGTCCTACCTACCTACCTAGTCCCATGACCGACACTGGTCGTAAATACATGTACTATGGGGTAAAACATTTGCTTCAAAGCTGCATCAGTCAGAGTCATCTGGTAGGACTCAATAGAAGACTGTTTTGTAAGACCTGAGCTATCTTGTAAGACTCCTGCTCTCTCTTCAGGGCAGCCTCTGCCTCATGTAGCTTCTCCCTCAGGCTGTCCAGTGCCTGGCTGTGGATCCCACTCGAATCACTGTGGTCCCTCAGGATCCTACATACAGTTTAAAATACGGGGAAGGAATTCTTTTTAGCAACAGATTATAGCAAAAGAAAGGAGTAGTGCATTGTGTAAAGCTGAAGAAATGTCATGCTCAATATCATCAAAAAGCTAGTTTATACAGAGAACTTGGTGTAATAAGCCTCCCCTGACTCAAACAGTTGTATAAGGGCTGCCTGAGGATAAGTACCTGTCCTTCTCATTCTGCAGCTCCTCCACCATGGTCCTCTTGACCTTGAGCTCCTGGTCAGCCTCGTCCAGTCGCACCTTCAGTACGGCCAGCTGGGCATCCTTGGTGGTGATGGCCTCGGTCAGGTCCTCCTCTCGCGACCGCAGCTCACGGATAATCCTGTCTGTCTGGGACGCCCCCGACGACATGGTGTCCAGTCTCTGTTTGGTTCGAGTCAGTTCTGAAATGTACAGTAAAAGTAATATACTTTACAACCTTAACTTGTATACTTACATTCATCCAAAGTTGGAGAATGTAACACAATACAACACCCTTTCCATATATTTTCCTTTTCAGTTTTATTATTTTTATGACTAATGTCTAATTTATGACTAATTACACCAAAATCCACAATCATCTTCACATACCTTCAAGTCCACTTCTTTGACTTAGGATGTTTTGTTTTAGTTTAAAACCCTTATATTGTGTCATAAAGCACCTGTTGAATTGTGTTGGTACATGTAGATGATAGACTACCTTCCTGTGCAGACTTGCATCTCTGTATGAGGGAGGTCATCTCCTGGTTTAGGGAGGACACCTCTGTCCTTAACAGGTTGTTCTCCAGTGTCAAAGATGATACCTGTACAGTGTGACATACATGTCTGAATTACACCAGCTGAAACAAAATATAGCATTGCTTTCCAGATTTCTAACTGACAATCATACTACTAGTATTCTATTGTGTACCAACAGGGAAATAAATCTTTTAAATCTTACCAGGTCTTAACAACACTTTTTTGTCTGCTACAAGCTGCTGGAAACAAAAGTCACAGTGCTCTACCTGGTAACTACACTGTACTGTACCTGTTGTCTAAGAGGTTGGTCATCACTGGACTCACTGCTGGTTGGCACACCATCACTGCCGTCAGAACTTCCATTTGTTGTTGGTTCACTGGATGGTGGCTCACTGATGTCTGTCACAGTCTGGGACATTTCCCCTGTGTTCACATGACATATGATTTACTGTATGTGGTGTTGAGGCCTGGGTGTTCCTATGTGTTCCCCTGTGGCAGTTTGTTCCTCTTTGGAAACATACATGTACATTCAACTGTTCTTTGCAATCCAGTAAAACTTTGTTATGTAGACTGGCCTTGTATTCTTTTCCACTTTTGGTCATCAAATTAAACGCTTTTGTTAATACTGTCTTATATTTTTGGTTGTCATGTCCTTCCTGTACTTATGCAGGTCACAGAAACTTGCTAATCTTTGCATTCTCCAGAGTGGAAGAAACATGTTGCCTGTCAACTTGTTACAATTTTGCCACCGAAGGATCTGCTTGGAGATAAGTAAGTAGAGGCCTGCCACCATGCAACCTTGTCACCCAGGACTGCAAGAATGTCACACCTACCACTCCCAGTCTGCTGCACAGAGGGGGTAGCTATAGGCATCACATTCTCTGCAACACAACCACATGGTTGGGCCATGGTGTGGACATGGTTAGAGGACAGTGCAAGATTATGCTGCATTACATTTCTTTTTATTAAGTACAATGATACAGGATGTTGTAGTTAGCGTAATATTTACTATATGACATCGAAAGGTTAGTATTATTACTTTTTCACTACATGTTACCAATCTTGGGCATTTGAGGCTGTTAGATGTGCAATGTTGGGCAGGTACAAGATTACACAAGTTCTTGCTGCCGGAGGTTAATGACCCCCACTGGCAATTGCCGGGTCGACCAGCTGCCAGGAGAGTGAATTAGTCAGGTTAGCACAATGTACTAGTATGCTGGGAACCTTCTCATTGTACAATGCATTATTTTTGTGTGAAACACCTTGTTAGTTTTGTGTATGTGTTGTGGTTTTTGATGAGCAGCTGAAAAAGCATGGCTGTTTCACAGATATTTGGGTTACATGTACCTCAACAGACAAAGTAGAACTAGAAGATACTTACCCTTGGCTTCCACTGCCATGGAGCTGTATGACGTACTGCCCTCTGTGTATGCTGACACTGAGGAGGAATCACTCGACTGCCTGGAGTGCTTCCCACCTGTAGAACTGGGCTCAGCAGCCCTTGTGACATCCTTCTTCTTCTCTGCTGCTGGGAAGGTGTTTGGGCTATTAAGGAATTCAAAAAGTTTCTCGTCCTCATCCTTAGGTTTCTTCCTCCCATAAGCTCTCTGTGGGGATCCCTGGGAGATAGTGCCCAGGCTGGGGACACGGGGCATCCCGCTGGCTGTCCGTGGGCTGGACAGGCTCACCATACTTACTGACGTGTGCAGAGCCTGGGTCTCCATCCTGGGGGGTTCAGGAGGTCCAGGCCTCTCATACCTGGGTGTCTCCACATGATGACTCCTCTGTACATCTGAGGCAGGCTGTCTGGGTACAGCTGCTGTCTCCCCCTCTGTCTGCAGGGCCTGTGCTGCCGTCTGATCAACCTTATTCAGAAGTTCCTCTGCCCTACCAGCAATGTTTGATATCCAAGACATGACTTGTTGTGGACTTTACACTGTCTGAAGTCAGAAATCTTGAAGGTCCCCTATGTCTGTGGTTTATGTTGATGCGACTTCCATAAGGGTTCTGGAATAGGCATTAAAAAGAGTCTGTATACAGTATATGAATAAACTTCACTTCATCTGGACTAATGGACACATTGTCAAAACTCTGCACTGTTCAGTCCCCGCCCACCACAAAAGACTGAATCTGATGATGCAACCATGTTTACCTCTTCACACATAAACAATCTATAAAATGGACAATCACGACATTAATTCTTCTCCAAGCTTCTATTCTTGTCAATAATAGCATATCCAGAAGTTTGAGACGTCCACCAAGGAGTGAATATCCAACAGGGTCACCCCAAAACGACAATGAAAATGCACGATAACATCCAAAATACATTTGTATGTTGTCGAAAATTTATCGAAAAGTGGGCAAGTGCAAAGCAAAGGATATCCAGTGTGAAAAGGTATCTCATTGCCCAGAGCAACTAGGAATGCATATCATTCATATATCAAGATAACTAACAGAAAGATCTGAGGATACCTTTAAGTGAATATTCTGCTACGATGATTTTTAACACCTAGAAAGGGAAAGTTTCCTCAGAGTTTGACTGTGCAGCGGACGAAAACATGGCGACGTGTAAATCGTGACGTCAGTGAGAACTTAGACCTCTCACCTTTGACATCAGCATGGAGGCGGTCGGTAGAAATCAACGTGGAAATTGGAAGAAGATATAACGTTTTATTCGTGACAGTATAGAGCCAATTTTTGCGCCTAACACAAAGAAATAAGAGATAGAGATAATCATGAGAGTCGTGGCACTAGTCAGGTAAGTGTACAGCTGATGGGAAACTGATGTTAACTTGTTATCTTTGTTTAAGTTAAGCCCGCCTTTTTGTAACTTTTGATTTAGTTTTGGCCAAGGACTCCTTGTTTTGACGGATATTTTAAAACAGATAAAGTTACTAGTATATAGCTTTGAAAGCAGTAGACGTTTCAAATAATGATCAAATGATTGAAAGAATTGTTGGTGATGATTCGTCCCAGAGGAATGGTCAAAGTTATCAAATTAACGTTATGCCAAATAAGTCCAACATTGCAGTCATAATAATATATTAATTTTCATGCAGTGGAGGTAAAGATAGCTGCTACAACATGATGCAGTGTGTAGCAGAAGGACACCAGATAGTCGCTTTGGCAAACCTTCGGCCCCAGGGAAAAGGTGGGGTGACAGCCTGACAGCTGTTTTTTTTTAACTCAGCATACCTCAAATACAGTACTGATTGAATCCACCTGAAATTTAGCATATGATACTACTCAAAATCATAAACCTAGTTGCATAAACCCAGTGCATAAACCCATGGATAAACCCAAGGAGGTTCACAATCTGTGTTCAGTGTGATGCATTGTGGGTAGTATGTCACCGCCAAGGTAAACAAACATGTCTGGACATGTACAAAGCATGGTCTGATGTCTTTAGTTTACTCAATCTTGGGCCAGGGGCCTTCACTTTTGACACTGTGTAGTCGTAATTGTGAACCTCCTTATTACTTAATATTAGATTCATTATGTTGTTAATTGCCTTTGCCATTGAAGAAAGTTATGTTTTCGACAGCATTTTTGGTTGTCACCATGGATGATGGAGTTAGAAGGAGATGGTACTGGTAACGTGAGAAGGCTATAACGTTAGGTGGATTGTCTCAATATTTGGTAGGTGGGTAGTTCTTGATGAGACCTTGAAATGATTAGATTTTGGGCCCTCTTGTGGTTTGGTTATGGTAATGCTGCAGAACCTCCGGTTTTGATATGTCATGACTCATGATCTAGACCCACCAGGGTCATGAATTTTGCATTGTGCTCAGGAAGAAGTGATATGAGTTTGGGCCTCCTAGCAGCTTGTTTGGGAACTGCTGAGGCATTTGTTAAAATGAGTGAAGGAGAATAACTCAAGAACCTGTTGACAGATCGTCATCATTTTTGGTATGCACAGATGAAAAGTAGTTGCCATGTACATGTAGTTGAAGGCAAAATCTTTGTCTCCTCTGAAGATGAGCTGGACAGCTACATGTTCCAGACAGTAGGACATGATGCCATTGACCTGTATGCAGAAGCCATGGGCCTCCCCCTGTACAGACGTACTATCCAGGGGGGGTCCCTGCAGGTGGACATGGACTACACTCCTACTGAGGCAGATGAGGTGGAAGATCTGTTTTTCCTGCTCCAAGAAATAAAGGTGGGTGATAGAATGTTTTCTTGCTAGTTAATTCTACTAGTAATGAGTTATGATACAAATTAAACGTGTAAGTTTTAACTAAGAAATTATTCAATTTCACCTGCTATTCTGAAATATTTGTAATACTTATACCGGTAATTTGGATATTAAAGCCCAAATTAGAATTTCAATTGAAATGACTATATACATGTATACATGATAACATAAAACAAATGATACTCAACTGTGCAGATTAAACATGTTTGTATTGTCTTTCTGACTCAGGTTATTGCCATAGTTCAATGTAACGTTACATGTAATCGTGGTAGGATTGATTCAACTGACTGCTATGATGCTGCATGCTGTAAATAGTAACGTTACATGTACTAAGAGATGGGCATTAATGCCTCCCATCTACTCATGCAAGTACTGCAGGTATAGCACAGACAATGAAATGTTTGCATGCATGGCCTGTTTAGTACATCAGTGTAGGTCATATCTAATCTTACCTAATCTGCATCATTTCTTTCTAGGGGGACGTTGAGATTGAAGCTGTCTCAGTCGGAGCCATTCTGTCTGATTACCAGAGAGTCAGGGTGGAAAATGTGTAAGATATGATCAGAACTGGTA